GTTGTCCAGGGACCAAAGAGCCTTCTGTTGAGTGGATAGGAAAAAGGATTGACCTGCTGTTTTCCACAGATAGTTTGCATGTAAAGCATAAAGTAATTAAGTGTTTTAATTTTGATCCCTATGGTGCTTCTCCTTTTCAGAGCACAGCAGGGAAGGGGAACATAACTGGCACCATTTGGAAGGTTGGGTGCCTAAGGTTGCAGGAAGTCTTTGTACTATAAAACTGATATTTTGGTTAACTATGTTGCTATTCTTATGTATATTCTGTTCCTATTCATGTATTAAGCATGAACAGACTATGCCTACCACACTTTCAAAAACCAGCCTTGAATCTTCAAAGGCAAGGGTGAATATTCTGTCATCTGAGAGATTAACTGTGTGCTCATCGGGGCAGATGGCAGAGCTGAAAATGCTGTTTTATGTGTTTGTAAGTATGTTTGTTTGTTTCTGATATGATTTCGTACTCAAACAATATTACACATTACTTTTTAGTTTTTACCCTAGGACTTATTAATGTGCACATCCAAGACTCTATAGGGTCCCTTTGATTTCCTAGTAAACTAGGCCTTTGAGTTAGTCTTACATACCAGGAATACTTGAATAAGAGAATAGATCCTTTTCTAGCTGATATTATAAAAGTAGAAAAATATAAAAGAAGATTATCTTTCAAAACAGAGTCAGACTTATTTACCACTGAGAATTCATCCCCAGACAGTGTCTGGCATGCTGCAATATGCTCCCTATATCTGAAGATTCAATAAATGAATGAGTCTTCTGCATTTTTATTTCCTACCATGTCATACAATATGACAGTTCTGACCCTGTCCTAGGCTTAGAGATACTATAATATACACAAAATGCGTTAGATTTTAGTTTAAGGAATATTTCTATTTGATCTACCAACTTCAAACTATTTACCTATTTGTGTTGTTGGACTAAGCAACTAAAGATGTGTATTTTAGACTTCTTTGAAATATTTGATTCATTAATCTTGGATGCAAAATGTTGGTCTTAGTGTCTGTCACACTGATCTTACAGAATAGTCATATAAGCCAAAAGACAGAATATATACAGTCTTTTTGAAACTCTTTGCTACTCTGTGAAGCATGCAGGGATGTTATGCTATCTAAATGTGAGAGATAATTTTTTAGGATAAATGAGAAGCACATCACCTGCATCAATACATCTGATCACCATGGGGGTGGAGGGTAGGGAATATATATATGAACTGATAAACAGAAAAGTACTACAATATTAATCTTTCATGTGGAATTGAAATAAAGAAACAAGCCTATAAACAATATATTGATATGTTGTACAGCATATTTGTTAATGTAAAACTGAATGTACAATAAATTTACCTAATATATTGTTTTCAAAACAGTAAGATGAAGACTGTATTATTTAAAGCAAAGTGTTAAATGCTGAATTAATATGGAATTTTACTATATTCACTATTTCAGAAGGTACTATTCTTCCATCAGTTTAGTATTCAGCATAATTATTTTATATCATTTGTTTATTAGTAAAATATTGTAATTATTCTAACCCACATAAGTTTGAATATTAAATAATTATACATAAATTTTTTTTCTGCTGTTTTCTTACTTCAAGAGGACAGGATCTTTAAAGGTATTTAAAAATCAAAAACTCAGAAATATCACAGAACTGCAACAATTCTAAAGTTAGAGAAATTAGTGGTGCCTGGGTTGCTCAATCGGTCAAGCATGTGACTTCAGCCCCGGTCATGATATCATGGTTTGTTAGTTCCAGCCCCATATCAGGCTCTCTGCTGTCAGCATGGAGCCTGCTTCAGGTCCTCTGTCCATCTCTCCCTCTCTGCCCCTCCCCTGCTTGCAGTGTCGTTCTCTCTCTCTCTTTCCCTCTCAAAAATAAACATATGCAAAACTATTTTAAAAAATAATAAAGTGAGAGAAATTAGAAATCAAGTAAAAATATATAATTTTACAAATAAGAAAACTAGGATTGCACAAAAATCTGAAGATTATTGTTAACTTCCAAATCAAAGTGGCTTAATGGGAAAAATAAAAGTATGGAGAGGGAGAGAGCATTAATGCATAAGAAAACTAAATGTCCATGGATATTTCTAGGTTAAAGAATAGCCTACATGGATCCAGGTGTTCAAATACTATTGTCAGAAAATTTTTACTCTGTTTCTTGGTCTTGTTTGATCTGTGTTGGCTTAATTCTCAGGAAGGAAATTTCCTCAGCACCAAAATGGCCACTGACAGATACTGGCTTATTTTCAAAATATAGCAAACTCAGTCATAGTTTGTTAGGGTTTTTTTTTGCCAGAAATTCAAGCAAAACCTCAAAGTTCATGCCCATTAACTTTGACTAATGAAGCTCCATTCACACTGGTACATCTGAACCAGTCACTGTGGAGACGGCTGGCTATATGAGAGTGTCACTGGCAATTGTGTATGATGTATGTCCCGCTCTGAAGGACGAGGGTAGAGTAAGGTTAATCCAAATTACATGACCAGGAAGTCAAGGTAATGGACAGTTATACAAAGAAGGGATAACCAATTTTGGGAAGGCAAAATTAATAAATGTCCACTGCAGAACATGGTAAAGCAGGAAGAGAAATTTCAGAGAATGGAGGGAAGTGTTTCACAGAAGGGGAGCCATGAAAATAAGGAATGATAAAAAAGCGTTATTATTCACAGCAGGGCATTAAATCCTCAAATCCTCCTTAAAACTGATAATTTTGGATACTGCATCATTGCAGAATAGTTACTGTCAGTCTGTTATTTGCAAGATGTTTGAGAAGATGCCTCAAGAGTAGAACTGATTTAAAAACATTTAAGAAAACATAGTTGAAAATTGAGCTTTGTCATTCCCTGGGAAGAATATTTTAAGACATCTGTGTAATGAAGCTTCAGATCAAAATTCATGTCATTGTCACTACTCTTTGTTAAATAAATATGTAGTTGGGTCATCTAGAACCATGCAGCCCTCGAGACACTAGAAGTTAATGTGACCAGCAGTGTAGTGACATGTTGGAAACCATGGGTTCTGGAGCCAACTATCTAGATTTGAATCCTAGCTATTCTCTTTGCTACATGTATACACTTGAGCTAGCTATTTATGCTCACTGTGCCTTAGTTTGCTCATTTAAAAATGTATGTAATCGTAGAACCTATTTTATGTTACAGAGTGTGTCAAAAACTGTGGAAGTTTAATGGACTTGTAAGATAACAAATTATCCTGCCTGTTTTATGGGTGCTGATGTAAGAGAAGAAACTCCTGGGTCAGAGATAAAGAACTTAATTATCCATAGCACATGCTATTTTTTCTTTCCAATAAAGTTTCATCAGGTGACATGGAGAGGCCCAGGTAGATGCTCCACATATAGTGGATTTGTGTTACAGCTGGAAGTCCTCAAACATAAAAAACTCCAATACTTTTTAACCCACTGCAAAAAAACACAATCTTTGTCCTGTATGGAAATATGATCTTTATTGTACTGGACAAAACACAAGCTAGCTCATTGTGCAGGAGAGAGACACAGTATCTATCTTCCAAGGTATTTTTTCATACACAAAAATTTTTAGAAGGTAATCAAGAACAAAAACTAATTATATCCTTTGCTTTAAAAAAAAAAAAAGAAAAGGAAATGCAAGAGACACATAAAGAATTATCTCCTGGGATGCCTGGGTGGCTCAGTAGGTTAAGTCTCTGATTTCAAGCTCAGGTCATGATCTTGCTGTTCGGGAGATCAAGCCCCACATTGGGCTAGCTGCTATCAGTACAGAGCCCACTTCATTCCCTCTATCCACCTCTTTCTTTGCCCCTCTCCAGTTCTCTCTCTCTCTAAATAAATTAATTAAAATGTTTTAAAAAAAGGATTATCGCCTAACAGTTTGATGTGAATTAATAGATGTATTATTGTTGTTGTTTAACAAGTTTTAAAAATAGTACTGGAGTTGTGTATTTTATTCTACTTAGCTCTCATATATATGATTCATAATCATATCCACCAGTACAATTAGTGTGAATAGGACTAGTAAAAGTTGTAATAGAAGGCCTCAAAACATTCAAACATGGAATTGGGTCCACAACAAGACTCTAATAAATCAATAAAGACTCTAATAAATCTTATTTACATGCCCTTTTCTTAAAGGCCTCAGTTCAAGTTTAGGAACTTGCTAGTTTTCATTTCTTTCCCCCATGCTGACTTACTGTACTTTCATAGAAAGTACTTTCTGTACCTTCCTATAAGACCTTTTATTAAAAATCATTTCATTTCTTTGATAGATATAGATGAAATTAATGTGTATGATAATAACAATAATAATCTAGAACACAATCCTTCACAAGAGAACATATCATCCCTGTTTAAAACTTTTTCTTAATATTTTTTGGAAAATCCCATGGAGAATTGCTTTATACAGTTAAATTGCAAATAGTAGGTAAAGAAAAATTAAGAACCATAACCAACAGGGAAAGGCTAAATGGTATTATGAGAAGAAATGGAAGTGAAAACTGCAGAAGATCAAAAAAGTCAATGCTAAGATAATGGGGTATATATAACTTGAAAAAATAAGTTGCATTAGCAAACAATAAAATATGATTCCTTAGTTGTTTTTTTCTTTTAACTAGTAAAACTAATTTTAAAAATCCAATATGTATAGCCAACATATAAAATACTTAGATTTAAGAACATATACCAGAGGGTAATGGGGGTTAAGAGTACATACAAGCTCAGGGGCATCTGAGTGGCTCAGTCAGTTAAGCATCCGGCTTTGGCTCAGTTCACCATCTCAGGGTTCCTAAGTTCAAATTCCTATTCAAGCTCCTGTAGGGCTCTGTGCTGACAGCTCGGAGTCTGGAGCCTACTTCAGTCTGTCTCCCTCTTTTTCTGCCCCCCGCCCCCCCCTTGAGCTCTGTCTTTCTCAAAAAAAAAAAAAAGAGTATTTTAAAAGAATTTAAAAAGCGGGTACACATAAATTCAAACATCCCATTAACAGACTCACCAAGGGATAATCTTGTAGTCGTCAACAAAATAGATTGAATTCTCTGCCAGAAGACCAGATACTTCTCTGTTAAAATTAAAAGAAAATCAAGTTTTGTGAATTAATCTCTGACCTATAGTATTGCTTTTACAGGTAGAATTAAGCATTATTTGTATTAACAACTAAGAGACCTGTTTGTAAAGAAAAAATTTGCAAAATAAACATATTTAAGGACAACAGGTTGTATGTGTACGTATATAAACCTATTGCCAAATAACAGTACTTCAAAATTTCTCAGTTCTTTATCATTTTCTTTTATTTAAGTTTATTCACTTTGAGAGAGACAGAAATAGTGAGTGGAGGAGGGGCAGTGAGAAAGGGATAGAGTGGAGAATCCCAAGTAGGCTCTGCACTGTCAGTGCAGAACCCAATGAGCAGCTCAAACTTATGAAACACAAGACCATGACCTGAGAAACCAAGAGTTGGATGCTCAATTGACTGAACTCAAGTGCCCTAGCTCTTTAACACATCCAACTGAATTTTCAATGTATTGTCCTAAAACAAGTTAACTTTATTATGACTGCCTTCATTTAAGAGAATTTTTGATAAATTGAAGTTGAAAAAATATTAAGTAACTAGTAACCCCTGATTATAAACATCTTAGAACCAATGAGGTGTCAAACTAATAATTACTAGATTTTTTTAAAAAATGTTTATTTATTTTGAGAGATAGAGACAGCATGTGCACATGAGCTGGGTAAGGATAGAGAGGAAGAGAGAGAATCTTAAGCAGGCCTCACACTGTCAGCATGGGGCCTGATGTGGGACTACATTTCACGAACCATGAGATCATGACCTGAGCCCAAATACAGAATCAGTCGCTTAACCAACTGAGCCACCGAGGCACCTCCAAAAATTACTAGAGTCTAAATTATTTTGGAGCTTACGAGATATGATCCCTATTGTAAACTCTACTTATAATGTGGTAAGAAGTCAAAACTTAGTCAGAAGATGGCTCTTTCTTGGCTCATTTCTTATGTCCAAGTCTGTACATTATTGATGCAGTTAAAAGACATCATTGCTACACAACTAAAACGTGACCTTCAGGATGGGAAAAGTATTTTCAAATGACATATTTGACAAAGGGTTAGTATCCAGAATCTATAAAGAACTACTTAAACTCAATATCCAAAACAAATAATCCAGTGAAGAAATAAGCAGAAGACATGAATAGACATTTTCCAAAGAAGACATTCAGATAGCTAACAGATACATGAAAAGATGCTCAACATCACTCATCATCAGGGTAATAGATATCAAAACTACAATGAGATATCAACTCACACCTGTCAGTATGGCTAAAAGTAACAACACAAGAAACAACAGGTGTTGGCAAGGATGTAGAGTAAGGGGACCCCTCTTACAATGTTGGGAGGAATGCAAACTGGCACAGCAACTCTGAAAAACAGTATGGAGGTTACTCAAAAAGTTAAAATAGAACCATCTTAGGATCCAGCAAATGCACTACTAGGCATTATCCAAAAGATACAGGGGTGCTGACTCATAGAGGCACATGCATGCCAATGTTTACAGCAGCACTATCAACAATAGCCAAAGTATGGAAAGAGCCCAAATGTTCACTGACTAATGAATAGATAAAGAAGATGTGATGGGTATATGGATATAGATATAGATGATATAGATAATGGCATAATACCTCACCATCAAAAAGAATGAAGTCTTACAGGGTGCCTGGGTGGCTCAACTGGTTAAGGGTCTTACTTTTGATTTTAGCTCAGGTCATGATCTCATGGTTTTTGAATTCGAGCCCACCTTAGGCTCTGTGCTGATAGCATAAAGCCTGCTTGGGATTCTCCCTCTCCCTCTTCCTCTCCAAATAAATAAATAAACTTAAAAGAATTTTAAAAAAGAATAACATCTTGCCATTTGACATGGATGGAGCTAGAGCATATTATGCTAAGTGAAATAAGTCAGCCAGAGAAAGACAAACACCATATGATTTAACTCCTATGTTGAATCTAAGAAACAAAACTTAAAAACATAGGAGAAAAAAAGAGAGAAAGGCAAATCATCAATCAGACTCTTAACTATAGAGAACCAACTGAGGGTTGCTAGAGGGAAAGTGGGCTGGGGGGCACTTATTGTGATGAGCACTGGGTGTTTTATTTAAATGAGAAATCACTAAATTCTAGTCCTGAAACTAATATTACACTCTTTGCTAATTAAGTAGAATTTAAATAAAAACCTGATGGAAACACAAACAAAACAAAATAAAAGAATCAAGCAAAAAAGACATCACTGCTGATCACTTTCATTTCATGAACTTGGGAGAATATGATATATTCTAGAGTGAGATGTTCAGATTTTGAGAATTGTTCCAAGACACCTATTTACCACAGCTACATAGATTAAAATAATGATAATACAATAATTAAACATAGCTAAGTGTATATATATATATATATGTGTGTGTGTGTGTGTGTATATATGTATATATATACACACACACACATATATACTTATAATATATTGTGTATATTTATTCTGAGGGACTATGACAGAGAAAAAAATGAAAGATGGATTACAGAGTATATTAAATGCCATAAAATGAAGGCTTCTCAGAGCAAATGTAATGAGAATGGGTAAAACATAAGGGTTTTGCTTACTCCCTTATTTGTTAAACATTTTTTAATATCTATTTGTATAAGGAACTAGAGTGTCTGCAGAGGATACAACAGTCAGCAGATAAACAAAGAAAAAATGACAGTGTCTGTCTTCACAGTACATATAACAGGAACAGTTAATTAAATAATAAACACAAAAATTCAGCTCCATCCAGTGTTGTGGAGTTCTTAGAAGTGCCTATAACAGGAAGACTTGAGTTCAGATGTTGAGCTTAAATGACATATATGAGTGAATTAGGCAAAAAGAAGAAAAATACTCCATTTTGCTTTTTAGAAACACTGTGATCACAACAGATTGACAAATGTTTCCACTGATGCCTCTTTCTGCAGATGACCATTAATTCATACCTAAGGGATCTGGGGACACAGCCAAAAGCTTTTCTACAAAAGCAAGACCTCAGTGATTTAGCCTGCTTTGGACTACAGTGACCTCACATTTCAGTTTGCCCTGGGTCATCCTAGCTTATGCCTATTTTTCCAGTTTAAAGTTTTAATAGCTCACTGGTTTATGCTCTGAATTATGCTTGTTAGAACAATATATTATACTATTAGCCCTTCTTTACACTCATATTTTATCCTTGATATTCACTGAAACATATCACTGTGTGTTATGTTTACATAAGCCCATATCATTTTAAATATAAGTAAGCAATGAGGAAGATAATATTCAAGGAGGAAATTATTAGTCTTAAAGCAACTGCGATTTGAGTAAAAATAATTTCAATGGACTATTTAAACACATAATTTAAAGCTGATTTAAATAATATAGCCTCATTCTTGATGGTTTCAAGAGAAAAAGATGGATACAAACAATAGGCCATATTTATAAGAGTTCTAGAAATAAAAAACAGAAAGGAAGAGGTAACTGCACAGTATTGAATGCCAAAGCAATATGAATTTTTGTTGTTACTGATTTTTAAGATAGCATTCTTCCCGTCTCATTTCACAATCACTGATTTGTTGTCTTACGTATTCATTCAACAAATATATCCTGAGTGCCACTACCTACTAAGGCACTGCTTTGTTCAAAGTATTGGGGATATAGTGGGAAAAAAACAGGAAAAAAATCTGTCTTTATAGACCTTGCTAATATTTGAATACTTTTATTTTAAGAATAAATTATGAAAAGCTAAAGTTAAGTGGTAGCATTCTATGTATGTGAAGACAGAATCAATATAAGAAAAAAGCACAGGGTCAAGGTCAGACAAAAAGAGATCACATAGGCAGTCAGTATATAAAAACTTTCTGCGATTAATACTTAGGCTTGTCTTTGGGCTCCCAAAAGTCAAAACAGGGAAAAAAAAAGATTCAATTAGTAATTGTTTTTGTTCCCCTAATAGGTAAAAAAAATCCTGAGAAGATATAAGGATTTTCTAACAACAATTTCCACACACACACACATATGTAAGCATGCATACTGTAAACACAGGAAACTGGGTAAAAAACACTAAGAGAAACTGCTTGATGGCTCATAAGCTCAGGTTCTAAGAGCTAGAATACATAATAATAAACCAGAAAACTTGGAAAAATGCAAATTCTTGGGTAGTTTGCCTAGAAAAATGCTTCTCAGATAGTACTGAGATAATCTGATGTGAGAATCTCAGAGACACGGGCCACTATTTTTTATCTTTTAATAAAAATGGAGCAAATCTTACACGGTATAATATACTTAAATGCAGAAATTAGTTTTTTTACAAATTAGAAAAACAAAGATATAATAATAAATACATGTAATTAAATATAATGTACATAATAAAGATTTTTTTAAACCAATTTATTACATAAAATTATCCTAAATTCTGATAACAAAACATGAACAAAAAATGCCCTAAAAGGGACAAATACAAACTTATTACTATTAAAAGTAAAGATTTTAAAATTCGTATAGGAAACATTATAATCTAAAAATATGTTAAATAAGAATTCATGAAAGCATGTAAAGTGTCTTTTTGAAATGTAATAATAAAAACAAAAATAATTTTTAATTTATTAATTATATTGATAGAACAAAGAAATAGCATTTTTTCAATGTTAAAGAAATGATATAATGCAAATTAATTACAAACTTAAAAACAATACAAAATAGTGACCTACTCACATACATTCCACTCACAATCCACAAAACTAGAACACCTACATGAGCACAGGAGTTTAAAGAGGTTATATAAATTATCATCACCATAAGTGACATCAGTAATGTAGTGTTTAAATGTGTGAGGCACAAGCCAAGAGCTTTGTATACACAATTTAATTTAAAATTAGATTTAAAAAACCTACAAATCTACTGTTTTGCTATTTCTAATTTTCAACAAAACCAAAATGGCAGAACAGAATTTAAACCTAGTTCTAATAGTCTTCAAAACAATAACTGATTCT